TATATATATATATATATATATATATATATATATACATATATATATAACCGTCTCAAGTGATAGATCGCTGCATGCATTAATACAAAGGATGTATGCCTTTTTCCGTGGTGTCTTGGCCGCTGACAGTTGGTGTATTTAATATATTGGTAATAATTAGCATGTTGGTTTTCCTGATCCAGAAACTTTTGGATATCCTTCAAGGGATAATGGGTATAAATGGATATAAGTCGTAAAATTGTCAACACGGATTTGATAAATTTTGGTTCTTTTTTAGTTTTCGTTTTGTTTTCTCATTGCAGCATTTGCAACAAACGGTAGCGCAAACGCAACAGCAAAATGCCATTCATCTGGTAACTACTGGATCCGTTGGTACCGCCCAAACTCACTACCATCATCCTGCAGTGGTATCAATCGCAACACCTGGAGTAACACCACCACCGCCACTACCATCAGCAGCACCACCACTACCACCTCCACCACCACCACCAACATTGTCACCAACATTGACACAACCACCACCACCACCGCCACCACCACCACCACCACCACCATTGCTACCATCACAACTATCATCGCAGTCGTTGCAATCACCGTTGCAAGCACAGATTGCTGCAGTTCATTCCGGTGCACACATTACTAGCACGATTGTTACTAAACCATCATTAAGTCCAAGTAAAATTGTTTGCACCACCATTCGTAACCAGCAACCACACTTAGGTCATGTCACAGGTGCAGCAGCTGCAATGCATAACTTCGTACGTGAAGTAAATAAACCGGTAGCTGCAGTAACACCGTTATCACTTTCCACTTCTGTTCTTGTACCACCAACTGTTACTGCTGTTAATCCGGCTCTTTTTGCTGCAACAATACAGCAGCAGCAGCAACAACAACAACAACAAGTACAACAGCTGCAGGCAGTGGCGGCAAAAGTTGCACGTACGGTAACAACCACTTCGGCACCACAACCTCAAGTTTCGCAACCGGCACTTCTGATTGGCATCGATACGATAGCACACGATAAAAAAACTGCCACAACGACCGGTTCCGTGTTGGCAACCGTGGGTACTTCCAGAAAGAAAAACTTTCAACCGGATAGTCGATGGAGTGGTTTGGATGAGAAGCTTTTGTTCCTCGCTGGACCACGACTAAAGTAAGTATAATATGCGAAGTCTGGTAGAAAGTAATTCATAAAATGAGGAATCGATATAGGGATGAAATTACTTGAGGGGGGATCGAGAATACGGTATAGCAAGTTACATTTGTTAATTTTAGAGCACTTTTCGGAAATTCAGGCAGAGTTTTGAATAGTTTGAAAATTTGAAAAAAAGGAAATTGCCTGAGAAGTGAGCAATTTAACATTTTGTTCAAAGGTTGACAACGTGACATTCCGGTTGCACTTGATTTCAATGGTGTGGTAGTGAAGGGATGAATGAGCGGAAAAGGGTGGGAAAATTATGACAGATATTTTGAAATATTGATTAATCATGCTGATTTCTAAAGCACTTCTTATGCATGCCTTTTTTTCATTGGTATGTTGCTCTTTTTAAAATGAATCCTTATGGAATACATTTTGAAACTTTTTGAAAATTTCCATTTATGAGATGTTTTTGGAGTTTAGCTTTATGCATGTTGCACATTTATTTTCCATCATTCATTTGAATATTTATTCAACTCTGACGAAACTACAAATATTGACATGGTCGTACGTTTGGTTTCTTCAAAATAGACTCAAATATCGATTGTCTTACTGTTACGCATATTGATCTCAGTGATTCCAATTTCCTGATTTCAGTCAGCGAGAATTTGGGAGGGTTGTTTCTCGACTTAATGACCAAAGAATACCAATTGTTTTCATTTTACAACTTTTGATATTCAATTCAGTTGAGCAAAACATTGCATCATTATGGAATAATTTATACTGTATGAAATTTAAATTGAAAAAGTTGAATGCTAAAAGCTTTAATATGTATTGAATAGAATTAGTGGTTAGTTATTATGACAGAAAAATTTGTTTTTATTGTTTGTATTTTCGTTTTTGTTTTTTCTTTTTTGTTTTTTTTTAGGATATTGCGTAGACGAATTTGTCCGAAGAAAATTGGTCGCCGTATCGCATTGCATCCATGTCAAAGTAGTGATTTTGTTACTAAGCATTGGCCTAATTTGCAGGGTTTTTTCATTTGATATAAACTGTGCTTGTACTAATAGATAGCATATGGAAATATGTTTTTAAAGATTTACAAGGATTTTAAATTAGACCATAATTATGAGTTTTCATCGTTTTAAATTATTTTTGGCAATTTTTTTTTTGTGGCATGTTATATTTTCTTAATTTTATTCGCCATGTATTTTTGTATATGTATGTGTCTGTGTCTGTGTCTGTGTCTGTGTGTATGTGTGTGTATGTGAATGTGTGTATGTGTGTGTGTGTGTATGTGTGTATGTGTGTGTGTGTTGTTGGTTTAAAAATTTCTCTTTTTTTGTAATATAAGAATAGTTCATTCTTCTTGTTGCAAGCAGTGGAGTGTTGCAATTTCTCATGATCATACAACTGATACGACTGACTAATTATATGTGTTGTTTAATTGAAAAATTTTTTATCAACATTACAAATTTTGACTGACATATCGGGTTAGATGGTTTAAAAACTCCTTTAAAAACTTTTAGTATGATTTTTGTACTTTTAAAAAAGTAATGGAGTAGTATGAATGGATTAATTGAGTTTCTTTATTAGAATTATTAAAATACTAGTTGAAAACCATCATTTGATTTAAAAATTATGATCAATTCTTGGAGTTATCATTTTTAATAATTACTTGTATCTCTTCTTTTCTTTTTTTTTTAACTTGTACATCATTTTTTATGTATTCGTTTATATATTTTTACTCTTGTTTTTGAAATTTAGTACTTTTCTAAGGGAAATTCTTGCTTCAAATTTATACAATAATTTTTCTTTTATTTTGATTAGTTCGTTTTTCCTTGTAATAGTACTTATTTCATTTCATTAAAACAATTAATTTTTGCTTTTTTTACATGGAAAAAAAAAGAGATTTATTTTATAGCTTTATATTTTAAGAATTTCCCTATGATCTATTCAATTTTCATTTGTTATATTTTTTTGATACTAGTTACATTTGTTATATGTTGATGTATCGTTATTTTACGTCATCATTCAATATTTGCTGAAAGTTTTGAATTTTATTATGCATCAACTCCAAGTAATTTTCAATCTATGGTTGTTTGATGTTTTTTTTTTCTTCTCAGAAAAATTTATAGGTGATAGTATTGTTTTGCATATGATTTCATCCATGGTATAATTGATTCAAAATATCATTTCAATTAATCCAAAATCAGTGCTTCTATTATTATCCCATTTTATTCATTTCAATTTGTCCATTTTTTTTTTTTTTTTTGCCTTCTATGCTGTGTGACACAGTGTATTTTGTTGGCTACGACATTTAAAGCTGACTGAATCGTATCCGTATCAATACTTTTTTGTTCTGATAAAAAAAAAAAACTTTGTTGCATGAGTTTGTTTTCTCAAATTAAATTAATTTCAAGGATAGAAATTTTCTCTGTTGTATGCAATTATGGATCTTTAAAAGTTTACAAAATTTTATTCATTATTTTGTGGCCTAATTTAAGATAAATTCAAAGTCGGATAATTGCATAATGTAAAATTTACAAATGGCTACTATCATCGTATTTTTGAATCATATTGAAATAATCCGATAATTCAGCATAATCAATGGATATTTTCGGATTGGAAACATTTCACTTTATAATTCTAATTCTTACATATAGAACGTAAAATAAAGTAAATTCTATTTATTATATGTCTCGTTCTTTTTCTTTTTTTTTAGATTTAATACAAAATTGGTAGCTTATTTTTTAAATTGGAAGGAGAATTAGGGAAAAGAAATTGAAAATAATAAATTTAGCAAAGATATTACGAAGACTTACGGCAGGGAAGCATTTTCCATACAGAATTTATCAGTGCAACTAAATTCTAATCATATATGAAAGGTAAATGCACTGATGTTTTCATTTATTCATTCTTTCAATAAAATTCATTAAATATTTCAAGTCAACAATTTAATAAAATGATATAATTCGAAAAGTAGCATACATTTTACGAATTAAATTATACCATTTGAATATTAATCATACAAATTTTCTTGCAACGAAAAAAAAGCGGTCATACGGTATGAAATAATTTAATTAATTTAATTAAATTATGCATATTGAGAGATGAACGAATGATTATTTAAGAGACAACGATAAAATTTGATTACAATGCTGTGATAATTTGAGAGATAAGTGATAATATTAGCATTACAACATGATGATAATTTAAGGGATGAAAATTTAAGCTACCTTTGCATTATTCCTACTTTAGAGGATAACCTGCGTCTTTAAATGCTATCATTTTACCTGTATTTGTTACTACAATATTGGAGAATAAATTGTGCTATAGCTTAAAAATTATAAATGTGACATTTTTGAAACATTATGCATCATAATTAATTGTCGATGGTTTCTATAATTTCGACAAAAAAAAGAAACGATCAAAAGATATTGCACAAAAGACACTGTAGCATATGTGTTGTTTGGTAATTTGTTTTAATTAAAATTATTTGAAATTTTTAGTGCAACAAAACAATTATATTTGTACATAAAGAAATATTTGATAAATTGTTCGAAAGAATTTGAAAAAAAAACAAAACAAATCATTTATTTTATATCAAAGGATTACGAAAATAAAACAAAATTGTCGTAATATTCCTATTTTACAAGTTAAACCGTTTTCATGAATACAGATTTCGTAAAACCGTTAAACCGTTTTCATGAATACAGATTTCGTAAAACCGTTAAACCGTTTTCATGAATACAGATTTCGTAAAACCGTTAAACCGTTTTCATGAATACAGATTTCGTAAAA